CCAGCAGGTTGAGGGAGGGGATTTTGCCCCTGTGTTCAGGGTGAGACCCCACCTGGAGTCCTGCGTCCAGCTCTGGAGCCTTCAACACAGGAAAGACATGGACTTGTTGGAGTGGGTCCAGAGGAGGCCACAAAAATGACCCGAGGGATGGAACACCTCTCCTGTGAGGACAGGCTGAGAGAGTTGGGGGTGTTCAGCCTGGAGAAGAGAAGGCTCTGTGGAGACCTCACTGCAGCCTTCCAGTACTTAAAGGGGGCCTAGAAGAAAGATGGGGACAGGCTTTTTGCAATAGGACAAGGGGTAATGATTTTAAACTAAAAGAGGGCAGATTTAAACTAGAGATAAGAAAGAAATTTTTTTATGATGAGGGTGGTGAAACAGTGGCACAGGTTTCCCAGAGAGGTGGTAGATGCACCATCCCTGGAAACATTCCAGGTTCGGTTGGATGGGGCTCTGATCAACCTGATCTAGCTAAGATGTCCCTGCTCATTGCAGGGATAGTTGGACTAGATGACCTTTAAAGGTCCCTTCCAGCCCAAAGATTTTATGATTCTGTGTATACTCCATGGCTCAACAGGTCCTCCCCAATGAAATAGAGCTCTAGAATTTTTTTTTTGGGGGGGACAAATGTGACTGCTTGAGCAGACTGGGAAAGAAAACAAATGTTTATTCTTACTATACAAATGTATACTGTTAGTATAGCTGCTACTCAGAATTAAAGTATAGCATCTTCCCATGCCAGAGCTAACTGTACTTAAGCAGTGATTGAGGTGATTTCTATTTTAAAGTAGGCGTTGAGATTGCTCTGGATGGAAGACGTGGCCTAAATGTCAGATGGTATCATTCTGGAAATTGTAGCTGATGGTGTTTCAGTGGTCATCAGGACTGCTGTGAGATGAGGTAGAGACTCACTTGTCCACGTGGAGGAAATCTTTAGATAGAAAATGTTCTACAAAGGTGTGGTGTTCACTTACAGTCAGAAATTTACTTGACATTGTAACATCCACCAATATGCTATTCAGGCAATTTTGGCATATTGTTTTTGACTGATGACTTCAGATCTTGTATAAATTCTCTTCTGATAGTTGTTACGTGTTTTCATCTACGATGATAAGCATTACACATATAGGACAGCAGTGATACAATATACACATACATATATTTCTAAATATTTAGTGATATCAAACACACATGAACAACTCAAAAAATGGAAGTAAAGTGAACTCAAAATCCAGATTTCAGCCAAAGAACTGAACCATCTCAGTGTCATTTTTGAGGGCTCACCCTCTATTTGTCGGGAAGTCTGCTTTCAGTGTCGAAGTCTGGCTTGAGGCTGGTCAGATACCTCCTCCCATTTCTCGTACTTCTGGGCTTTCCCAAGGTGAGATAGATACACTCTATTTTGTGATGTCTTTGAGCAGAGAAGGACTTGGATCACCTGATATGTGAAGTACCAGTCAGCCTAAATAACAGCTTCCAGTTTTAAATAAGCCTTAAATTTTATGTGAAAGCTGCTAAGATCTGTTAGTTTGTATCTGGGAGGAGTCAAGAGAGGAAGGAAAAGGGTGTTCTGGGAGATGGCCAGCAAGGAAGGAGTGATGCAGGACACCATCACACTTGGTCCACCAAGCACATCATGAAGACTGTTAGTCACAGAGAGGATAAAAATGCCACCTCTCTGCTTGGGAGGAACAGTGGGAAAAGAGAAGACCGTATGCTTGACAGGTAGAAGAATGAATGGAGAAGGAGCGAGGGGGAATCTTCAAAATGTATTTTGCATCCTGATCTGGAGCACTTGACATGCTTTTCTCACTAAAAACCTGCACGATGTCATAAAATCTCTACAGGTAAGCAGACTTCTGACCACATTGCATTGATCATAGAAGAGGATCCAGAGAAAAAGAAGAAGGATAAGACATTGAAAAGGAGACAGAAAGAAACTCCAAACCTAGCAACATTGCAGGTAAGAGAGAAGTAAGGCTGAGGGATAAGACTGTTATCCACTGTCTCCCCAAAGCTGAGTTTAGCAATGCCCTCCTTACATTTATTTCAGACACTTTGAAATTAATAAAACACACAAAATGATAGGAAACCAAGGTCTTGTAGGGTGGATGTAGCCCGCTTGTCCTTAGACCTTCACTTTACCAGTATAGACACACCCAGAGACACTTAAGTGAAAAATCAGTTTTGTTGTTCACCTGTAAAACACTGAATTTGAAAATTCCAAATTTCATGTTGGAAATATTACAGCCTATTAAGAATGACATAAAAAAAGAGTATGGAAAGCATTGCTACAATTGCTAGTGCATCCTCCCTGCTGGGGAGGTAATATTCAGCTTGCATTAGATTTGGTTGGGTAACGACAGAAGGAATTCAAAGAAAACTATATGGGTCATGCAAAATGACTGGAGAGATGAGGAGGTTTGAAAAGATTAGGACTGCTTGCATTAGACTGTAGCTGAATAAAGGGGAATTTGAAACTGCTGTTTCCATTTTTTACGAGATGGCACTAGTCTAGTCCCTTCTATTTTGTACTGAATAACATTTCATAAATTACAGGAGGAGAATGTTGAAAGAAAAAACATCCTTTTAAAAATGAAAAATTATTTGGTCTTTTTACCTATCCTAAAGCTCTGTCCCCACAACACTGTATTACTGTCTACTTTGCTCTCATATTCTGACACATTAACATAACAGAATGGGTCAGTACATCAAAGGCACGTTGCAGGGAGGAAACAGAAGCAAAAAGCAGCACATCCACACTGTGTTTATAAACGTTCATTCTGGCCCTTGTAGAGCCACTTCTACCTGCTCCGTTAATGTATTGAAGTATTCCAGTAGTCGGGAAGGACTTTGGTTAAGGACAAAACTGCTCCAGTTTTAAGTGGGAAATTAACTTTTTTTCCTCAAGGACTTTTGCAAAACCTTGGTTTTATTAAAATCTGTATTTTGAGTCAAAATAGATTTCTAGTCATCCTGTAATAAGAAAGTTGCTATGAATATATTCACTGCACCACAAAAAAAAATCATTCTCCTATTTTCAAAGATTTATGAAGGAGACTTGGAGAGTGAATTTAATAACTTTGAGGACTGGGTGAAAACTTTCCAGCTCTTCAGAGGAAAATCTAATGACGAAGTTCATGCTGACTCTGAAGACAGAATAATAGGAAAATTTAAGGTGAGATTTACTGTAGATTAAATGGGTAATAATTTAGAGACTTTATGTTTTCATGCATATTTCAGGTATATCAAAGACGAAAGAGAAAGACATTGACAGTCTGTTGCAAATAATAGAGTTATCTCTTTTAGTGGGTCTAGAATCATATTTTTCCTTCCCAATCTGATCGATGAAAGCAGCGTCCAGCACCAGGTGTTCACTGTTGTTTTGAAACAAGGAATTACAGAAAAGTTTCAAATCACAGAAGGGGAAGAAGAGATGTATTATGTGTTCCAGATTCCACTAATGCAACTTTATTACTGCACTAGCAGTTACAGAACCTTGTCTGTAATTTTCAGTAATTTAAATGGGGGCCCTTAGAGCTACTCCAGTTGGAAACAATTGCACAGCCTGATCCAGGGCACCATTAGGCAATCTGAAAACATAGTTCAAAGCATGAATAACGTTAGTAGGATTTCAAGCACTTTGTAGTTTAGAGGGACTGATTAAACTCATTGATACCTCCAATTAGTTTGCAATGCAAATTTCTGTTCAAATGACTTGCCAGTTGCTTTCAGGCAGTATGAGCTACTCAGCAGCATGAGTCAATATTGGTTTATATGAGTTGTATAGTAGCTGCAAAAATACAGTTGGATTCTAATCACACTGTTGTGAAACTAACTCAATGGAATTATCAATTTGCAAATATACAGTTAAGGGCAAAGTATTATTTTAAAAATATTAATACTAAGAAAACTAGATTCAGAACACCTGCAGGTGTTAGTCCTTCAGATAATAAAATAGAGCTAAAGAGCATGAAAGTACTTCTTGCAATCATCTAGACGTGATGATAATACCTTTGTATTACTCTATAACTCTTTGTTTTAGAGCAAAGATTTTAAAAGATGATGTTTAATGCAACTGAAACCTGTGTTCCCTTTGAGTGGTACAACAAAATGTGCTGTGTATGTGTATGTGCTGCAGCACAGGCTACATGAATGATGTTTAATTTGCATTCAAATGGTTGTTTTTGTACTGCACTTGATCTGTTTTTGAGGGAGATAAAAGACACTGTATTACCAGGGTTCCTTCTGCATATACCCAAGTCCTGAGGATGGCAGCTTTCTGGATGGAGGGCAGCCCCGCATCCTGCAAGGGATACCACCAAACCACTCCGTCAAAGTCCTCATCAGGGTTTATATTGTGGCAGTAAGTAGACAGATGTTCTTTCAACTTTGAAATACCTTGGATGTTTCTTTTCAACTCCGTTTACCCCTAGTGTCTTTGCAGTGAAGCTTCTGGAAATCCTCATCTGTGTGGGAGAATTTTTTTTATCATGCAACAGTGTCTCATGTTGTGGACATGGGTATTCAGAGTTGAAAATGTTGCATATTCGTCATGACAAATCACTTTACTTGTTCAAAATGAAAGGGCTAGAGACATAACTAACATAGTAATGACAACCTGTTCCAGCTACATTATGCAAATGCAGTCAGTTTTAATCAGCAGAGTTATTTCAAAATTACACACATTTAAACAAAACCTTCTCAGTAAGGGGGACATGGGAGCATATTTTTTGAGGACTCTTCCAGCTGATTACATGCTGGAATTTCATGTAATCAAAGTGGTACGGAATAAGGGTGGAGAAAGAGGTACAAATACAGAGGACAAGATGATGAGGGAGCACAATGTGAGAAGTGAAAGGGGTAGAAGGAGTTGGTATTTCAGACAAATAGGAGTTGCAAGTGATCTAAGAGGGGAAGAATGGCGTGCAAAGAGACAATGGCAAACAAAACAGAAGAGAAGAGTTGGAAGAGGTGACTTTGTTTCCTGAATATAAAGACTTCCAAGCCACCTTATAAATACAGTCTGAAGAGTTGTTTTGCACTGTTCAAGGATCTAGGCCAATGTTTTTTGGAAACCTTTCCTGAATCCTGCATGTAGCTCAGCGTTGCCTCTCCAGTTCATCTCTTTTTTTGTCGTAGCAGTGGGACAGCTCCACCTTTGCAAACTCTCTTCTCCTCCAGATCATCTTTTCCGAGTAGCCCGCAAAGCTAAATGCCAAGTTTTGTACCACACAAGGCAGGCAAAGCCCCTGCACTCCCAGAACACTCTGGGACTGGGCAGGAAACCCACAGTCCTGTGGTGTGACTGTGCTGCATTTAAGCAAGCTTCTTGAGGACACAGTTTTTATTCCTAACAGGCATTTAACCTCAGCCCGGCTGATCCAGATGGCAAGTCAGATCCCTACATTGTGCTGAGACTGGGCAACACAGAAATTAAAGACAGGGAAAACTACATCCCCAAGCAGCTAAACCCAGTATTTGGAAGGTCAGTGATGGCTTATTTTCTTATTCAGAGGTGATTTCTGCTTTATCACTTGCTACCACGTTGCTGTTACTATTATATAGTGCCTGTTATATGCTGATTTCTGCCTGTTTGGATGTTTTGTAATTCTACTGCTTAAAATGTTGAGAATTTGTGTCATCCTACATGATTATAAATTGTAACACATACAAAACACATCATGGAATGCAATCTGTGAGAGATTTTGCAAAATGATGCATGAGAGGAAATGAGGCGACAAATGATCCTGTCTTCGCATATTAATGCAATTGTTAACTTTAAAGTGAAATAAATATAAATATCAGCACAGTAAAGTGTGATTTCACAACCTTTGTTGCTGTTTCAGGTTGAATAGAGTGCCAGATAAATCTCGTGATTTTAAGGGTAGGACAAAAAACCTAGGTATTCAAACCCACACAGTTGTCTGAATGGGGGAGCCAGGGGCAAGCTGTCAGTGAACATCAACTTGGTATTATCAATGCTTTATACTTATATTATTAATCTAAATGGTTGTGATTTTTTCCCATTAAGTTTCCCTGTTCTAAGAAGGTTGAAAATGTTTTGAATTGGGATGGAACTATTCTGTAAGAGCATCAAGACAGAGAAACAACTATACTATGTTGGACTGAAAGCTCCCTAGGCCAGGGTCCTGCCTGCAAAAGCAGAGACTTAAGGAAAAAGTGTAAGGGAAAAATACAAGAATGGAGTGGTCCCTCTGTAACAAGCCATCTCAGTGTCTGTGATTTATGCTCTTCCTTAGTAGAGGATTGCAACTGAACCATCATTATGAAAAATGTTAAGCACAGATGTTATAGATGCATATAGATGGAATGAGAAATCACCACTGTGGTTGGTACATTTAAACTAGATATAAGGAAGAAATTTTTTTATGATGAGGGTGGTGAAACACTGGCACAGGTTGCCCAGAGAGTTGGTAGATGCCCCATCCCTGGAAACATTCCAGGTCAGGTTGGACAGGGCTCTGAGCAACCTGATTGAGTTGAAGATGTCCCTGCTCGTTGCAGGGGGGATGGAGGAGATGACCTTTAAAGGTACCTTCCAACCCAAACTATTCTAGGATTCTGTGATTCCGTGATCTGTCTCCTCCAAAACCTGCTCTGCTGTTGCTACAAAATTGACTTTGGCCACTTTGGGCAAAACTCGTCCCTCCAGGAGACAAAGCTCAGTGTTGTCTGTACTTCGGAGAAATCGGCAGCCAGTGTTGTCCTGACGAGGATGTCCTGTCTTCCACTAATTTGTCAAATCCCTTTTAGAATCACTTTTCTATTTTCAATTTCCCTAAACATCTCAGTGACAATTATTCCTACACATTAAAAATGCACTGCGTAAAAAGGGAATTCTGATCTTCAATTTTTGAAACTTGTTTTAAAGTTTTTGCCTAGCCATTTTGTTGCGCTCCCCCAGATTCCTATATCCAATATTTAATCTGGGGCTTTTGGAATAAAACAGAAAAAGCTCAGATGTCCCTTTTGGGGGTTCTGAAATGTGTGTGAGAACTCCTACACATACAGCTTCGTTAGCCTTGTAATTTCCGCACTTCCACCTCTGTTGGATTCATGATAAATCATTGCAGCTGACCAGGTCCATCCCATTGCTCTCTCTACTGTAAGTAGGAACAATCTTAGAACTGTATAGAGGGTGGTAGGGAAGCAGGAGAAAGAAAATACTTCTGCACTGTGTGTTTCCAATATGTTCAGATATTTCATTAAAACAAGAAATGCTACCAAGAAAACCCCACTGCTTATTAGAAGATACACTGTCCACACATTGCTTGCACAGTTTTCATTAACTTAGTCCTTTAGGCTTCAAACCTGATTTTTGAAGGCATATAGTTCTCATCTTTTGCTGTAGATCATTTGAAATCCAAGCTACATTCCCCAAGGATTCCTTGCTCACAGTCCTGATCTACGACCATGACTTTGTGGGAACAGATGATCTCATTGGAGAGACTAAAATTGATTTGGAAAATCGTTTCTACACCAGGCATCGAGCTACCTGTGGGTTGCAAAATAAATATGAAATGTAAGTACCTCTTCAGACAGCAACAGAGAGCAGCATGACTTGACTTGAAGGAAAAATTCCAGATGTTGCTAAACATTATGCTTTCTCCAGCATGAAAGTGTCACAGGAGGTATTTTAATTAGATTTCACCAAAGAGCTTAGCAGCGGCTTTGGGTAGCTGCCAGCCTGAGTAGGCATTGGATATTTTAAAATTAACAACACTGCTTGTTCACCAAGTATTTTAGATAGTAAACCGCCCATGTATAACGTACCTGCTTGATAAACTGCCTTTGGACAGGCATAAAGGGCCAGGAGCAGAGCGGGGCTGCTGGCATGGCCTCTGTAACAGAAGTGAGTCCCAGGGTGGTATTGCTGAGCTCCTGGTCCCTGTCATCGGCTGCACTCTCAAGGATGCTGTGCACAAAGATTAATTAATGCACAGAAAGTCAAACTAAAATAACTCTATTGCCCTGGGGTGGGGTACTAACCTGGGAGATGTAGGTTTGGCATTCTTCTCTTATTATTGTTTATTTTATCTACAAACAAAGAGTGGACAACACAAAAGAGCAATCCAGGAGCACAAACCAAACCCCAAGACTTCCTTTGCCAGCTCAGTCTCCAGCGTGAGCTATTTCTTTATGTGTTTGTTCCAGGTTCCAGATAATCTCAGCTTCTCCTTTGCATGTGGGACCTCCAGAACACTTCTCCTTAAATGGAGGTAGAACATGTAGACTTGAATTCTCTAGGTAGAACAAGGAACAAGCTCTGATCCTTTTCCTTTTGGGGAGTATGCCAATGCCTAGGCTACTTTAAACTGTGGGTAAGGCTGCCTCAACTTCTGTGGTGTTTTAAGAGGAAAAAGTGATTGGCCCCAGGACCTGACCAGACAGAGGGGGTGTTGCAAGTCAGAAGTAGCGCTGGACAATTCAAAGGAAATGTTTGGCTGAGCAGATGTCAGGGCCACTGACCATGAAGCTAATCTCTGCATGGGAAGTCCTGATTTGCCAGTGCACTTTGCTGAAGGAAAACCTCACCCATTTCTCTTCACTCTGTTCCCTCTTTGCAGAGAAGGGTACAATGCATGGCGAGATGCAACCAAGCCAAGCGAGATCCTCACTAAGCTGTGTAAGGACTACAGAATAAGTGGACCTTTCATGAGGCCAGGGGAGATACAAGTAGGAACAAAAGTCTTCAAGGGACAGACAGTCTTCACAGAAGATGAGAATGGTAATGAAGTAGTTCATCGTTATTCAGCTGCATTGTAGCAGTACCAAGAGGCTGCCCAAGCTGTAGCTGGGGCCCTGTTGTGCTATGCACTCTTGAGTCAGATTACTGGAACCTGTCTCTGCTTTGAAATACTCATATAACTGTGGTGATGAAGGCTGTGTCTATGTTAGCTGTTACCACAGCTTGATTGCAGAGAATCTGTCGGGAGAGACAGAGAACAATGCTGATGACCTGACATCCCCATGGTGGGTGTTGAGGCATACTTTGGACCAGCTCCTGCCTGATCCCAAGGATGGGGTGCCCAGGACTGATTGGAGTGCAGGAGACCCTCTTGGAACATGTGTTCTGTCTTAGTTTCATTTTAAAGTAGTGCAGCTTGCATGCTCTGAGATCCTCTCACACAGCAGGTCAAAGTATGGGAAGTCAGGGAGAGTCTTTTCAAAAATACATTCCCTGTCTAAACTGAAGCACTAGTGTAGACATACCCAAGAAGTGAGAAGGGGGAAGGGAAATGCAGATGAGAAGTGAGTTATCCAAGGTCAAACAAGTCCTCTGACCACAGTTAGGTTCCAGGCTGCTTACCTGCCGGTCCTAGTTTGCCTTGTTGGCTTTCCTCTCTGTTGTTTTTTTCCTCCTATAGATTATTACCACTCTTCTGAAGACTTGCTTCAGACTGCTCTTCTGAAGCACTAACACAACGCTGTATAAATTCAGGCATCTGTGGGGTCCATGAATAGGCGGACAGAACTTGCTTTCAGAGCTCCCAGATTAAAAAGAAGGCGAAGTTACCAGGAAGTTGAGTGTCCATATCACATAAGGATGGAGTGGGAAAGAGCTATCAGTGAAAGATGTCCCTGCCCATTGCAGGTGTTTGGACGAGATGATCTTTGAAGGTCCCTTCCAACCCAAACCATTCCATGATTCAGTTTTATACCTAGGGTAAGGAAAAGAGGTGTGAGGATGGAGACTTTCAAGGGGGAACAAAAGAAGCTGGCCTTGGAGACAGTAGTGGGCACTGTGGCAGTGTAGGGACACCTCTACTCCCTCATCTATATTTATTCGTCTTTGAGCAAATTCCCCTTGGCAGCTACAAAATATAGCTCATACATTGAGTGGAAGGATGCTCAGGTAGCACTGTTGAAGGGAGAAGAGTTGATCCATTTTTGGATTCTTGGCCTGAGAGAGATTTATGACTCCAGTATTGCTGTTTTTTTCCTCACTAGCAGATGACTGAGTGCAACTGCCAGCAACAGGATCTCTCAATCAAAATTACAGTTTGCTAAAATGAACTTCAGACAAACCAACATCAGACAAGATGATGGAAACCAAAAGCAAGGAAATGGCAAAATTCAAAGTACTTATGAACATAAGTTTTTCAACATGTTATAAAGAAATATACAATTTTTTATATATATAGATATATATATACACACACACACATGGAAGATCAGCATGATCCTTATCCAGACTGCTGTTCTGACAAGTCCATCTGGGTCCTTATTTCCTGCTGGATTCCTGTGCTGGTCATCGTTTGGGTGTGTAAAACTAACAAAGACCGCATATTTGAGCTAGAGAGGAGTACTGAAAAGGGGGAGCAGTACCATTTCCACTTTACAGGTGGAGAAAATTATACTTGTGGGCTTTACATCCATCTTTAAATTGCAAGGGAAAGAAGAATTTAACTTTGCTTCAGGAGCATAGACGTGAATAGAATAGAATAGAATAGAATAGAATAGAATAGAATAGAATAGAATAGAATAGAATAGAATAGAATAGAATAGAATAGCTCAGTTGGAAGGGACCTACAACAATCATCTAGTCCAACTGCCTGACCACCACTCCCAGGTAGTCTAGGACTACCTGTAGTAAATAGAAAGAAATAAGCATCTTCAGAAGGTGAAAATAATCTTTAGAAAGGTGCCTGAGAGAGGATATGGGTTATCATGGGACAATCTGTCCTTGCTATTGAGGCTATCTGAGTAGCTCAGGCTAAAGGCCTTGCTTTTAGCTGGCTAAAATTAGGTTAAATACATCACATCTCAAACACATGTCAATGCACAAGAGGGAACTAAGACTCATAACCACAGGGTCATCCTTCCTCCCTTTCTGAGCCATTAGGAAGGGTTTAATACCTGCTGTTTAAATCCCAAACAAACCTTTTGTGTCCTACCAGCAAGTCAGAGATAGCAACTCTTTAGGGAAAGTGATAGCTGTTTGCTGACAGAAAGAAGTCTTAACTTTCTTCTCACTTGAGTACTCTCCTAATCTAGGAGACATCCCTCTTCAAAAGTCTGGGTTCCTTTTGTGTGGAGCCCACACAAAAAGGGAAGAAAGAGAAGCTTAAGAGCTCAAAAGGTTTTCTCTGCTTTCCAATATCCACTCTACCTGCAATATTAGCACTGGTCCTTCCTTGAGGTGCCATTCTCTGGGGTCTCCCTTCCTCCAGTGACCAAGTGGAACTGGTCGGGAGGGACTTCAACCCTCTCCCCTTGAGGTGTGATTCTGTTCTCCAGGATATTCTTTGTTGTTGCCATCACAAGACAAGCTATAACACCTAGTGCCTATTGACTGTCAGCTCTACCAAAATCCAAGTCTCCGTGTCTTTCATGAACTGTAAAAAAGCTTCACATTCGCAATTTTCTGTGAAAAGAGTAATTCACAGTTTTCTTCCATCTTCCTGTTAGAAACTGCTGCTGTAACAGTAAAATGGTTTGCTGTGTTTTATAGATAAATTACTGCCTAAGTGCTAATCTTCTAGTTACCCTGGTGGGTACCCTTATTTACAAGAATTAAATGCATTTCAAGACCTTTCTTTATTTATCTGGGATACATAAAACTTTCCTTTTAACTCAAACATATTTTTAATTACCATCTTTAATAATTAATGGCACATATTACCAAGGGGTTCAACATTATAATTCAGTTCTCTTTGTTCTTTTTTTTACCCTTTCCTATAGAGGAGCCAGTTGAATCGTATGAACATCTCTCCTTAAAAGTTTTACATGCTTGGGAAGAAATCCCTGGAGCTGGATACAAACTGGTCCCAGAGCACATTGAGACTCGGCCTCTCTACCATAAGGATAAGCCAGGCATGGAACAGGTAGAGTAGCTCAGAGGTGGTGGTGATGGTAGACACAGGAGCAGTTTTCCTTTCCTCCAGTTACTGTGGTTTCTATTTGTACCTGCAAACTTACAGAGGCAGCATCCAAATGTACCATACATAAAGTTCGTACAGTATCAACCTAGAAATTGTCACACGTGTGTATACAGCCAGTAATCAAAATACACAGTAATCACACAAGATGTGAGTGCATATTTTCACTCTTTTAAATGCTTTAGTTTATTAAGTTTATACAAACTCTGCTTTTATTTGGGCTTTGGGGGTTTTTTCCCTTTTATTACCTAGTATTTTTATATGGATTTTACCTTGAAGTTGCCAGTGTTTGAGCTCAATTCCAACTTAATCAAGTTCTTGGGAGACTGACAGAATATGTGTGTGAAAAAATATATTGTATAGTAAGTTTATAGATAAAATCATAGTTACAGGATAGTGAGCTGGTTGATGCTTATGGAGGAAGTGGTGGTTTTGGACATCAGAACTACGTTTAAAGTCTTTTAAAGTCTCTCTAAAATAGTGTTACAGAGATGTTTATCTCTTTGTTTTCAAGGGTCGTGTACAGATGTGGGTTGACATGTTTCCTAAAGATATGCCTCTGCCAGGACCCCCAGTGGACATTTCACCAAGAAAACCCAAAGGGTAATACTCCATGCTTTCCTGCCAGCACAGAGGCATAAGTCTTCAAAGACTGAGTCTTTATTAAGTGTCTGGAAAGAACTATAAAAAGATCTATCACAACAAGCTTCTGTGATCCTGAGAAAAGTTTTCTTAGGTTCACATGACTTCAAGTCAAAAGAAACCATCTATCTAGTTTGGTCTCCTCCATTAAACAACTAAAAGAGCTGTTGGTGATTTTTGCATCAAGGACTACCACACACCTCTTTTAGAAAGATATCGCTTTTTCATATAGGGATTGCAGGTAGCTAGAGGCAAGAGTCTCTTAATAATTCTGATGTTGTCATCCACTTGTTGAGCTGAAAGAAGTAATTCTGGTTTCACTACCTCTTACAGCTAGATAACATACTTGACCCTGTTTGAGATATTTAATCTGATGCAATAGTATTACGCATATTGGATTTCCAACACCTGGTTCAAAGATAAGATCAAGAAACACATGAAGAAGCAACAGACAGAAGAGATAAGTCAGGAATAACTGTGTCTCAAATTTCAGATGGATGCTTATGTTTCCTTACATGCAACTTTACACATACCTCTTCAAGCTAGTTGAATGTTTGTAAATGAAACACAAAAATGACCAACAGAGTTCTCAGCCTATCCTGCATCAGCTTTATTTCAATATTTTAGCAAGGTTTTTCCTGAGAATTTTGTGTCTGAAACAGCATCAGATACCATTCCTGTAGTATTTACATTTGAACAAGAAACAATGTAATAAAAACTTGTTTCTTTTCCTTTCCTTTTACAGAAGACGAGATTTGACAAAAATAAGTCTATGTAACAATTACAATTCTTCAGACCAGAACTTTCTGTAAAACTCCTTAACAACAAGCATTTTCCAATCCAAAAAGATTTAAAACTAATCATACACACAAACTCAAATTGTTGGTGCCATTTTTGTAGTCTGCAAAAGCAGGGGAAAATATTGTCAAACCATTAATTACAAGAAAGAAAGTAAACATGCAAACATGAGATACACCTTTAACTGAGAAATGCATATTTGCTGCAGCAAAACAGGTTTTCACTTTGTGAAAACATTTCTTGTTGACAATCTTTGCCTGAACAAGGATCTGACAGAGCATTGAGGATGAAAGTTTCTTTGGCTAGTGCAGAAGCTTCATTTTCATGGTCAACATCTCCTTAAGAGCACCATGACATAAGATATGTGGTAAGATCTGGGACAAACTGTTTCACACTTGAGGTTGAGGCTATTTCCAAGAACACACGTGTCGTATCAGAAAAAATCATAGAATCATAGAATCTTTGTGTTGGAAGGGGCCTTTATAGGTCATCTAGTCCAACCACCCTGCAGTGAGCAGGGACATCTTCAACTAGATCAGGTTGCTCAGAGCCCCATCCAACCTGACCAGAAATGTTTCCAGGGATGGGCATCTATCACCTCTCTGGGCAACCTGGGCCACTGTTTCACCACCCTCATCATAAAAAAAAATTCTTCCTTATCTGTAGTTTAAATCCACCCTTCTTTAGTTTAAAACCATTACCCCTTGTCCTGTCACCAGGCCCTGCTAGAAAGTCTGTCCCCATCTTTTTTACAGGCCCCCTTTAAGTACTGGAAGGCTACAATAAGGTCTCACAGGAGCCTTCTCTTCTCCAGGCTGAATACCCACAACTCTCTCAGCCTGTCCTCACAGGAGAGGTGTTCCATCCCTCGGATCATTTTTGTGGCCTCCTCTGGACCTATTCCAACAGGTCCATGTCTTTCCTGTGTGAAGGGCTCCAGGGCTGGACACTAACCACGGAGTTAAGGGGCAGAATCCCCTCCCTCCACCTGCTGGCCACGCTGCTTTGGAGCCTTCTGGGCTGCGAGCACCTATTGCCGGCTCGTGTCCAGGTTTTCATCCACCAGGACCCCCAAGTCCTTCTCGGCAGGGCTGAATCCCTTCATCCCCCAGCCTGTACTGATACTGGGGTTGCCCCAACCCAGGTGCAGGACCCTGCACTTGGCCTTGATGAACCTCATGAGGTTCACATGGGCCCATTCCTTGAGCTTGTCCAGGTCCCTCTGGATGACATCCCATCCCTCAGGTGTGTCAGCAGCGCCACTCAGCTTGGTGTCATCTGCAAACTTGCTGAGGGTGCACTCCATCCCACTGTCTATGTCATTGATGAAGATATTAAAGAGTACTGGTCCCAACATGGACCCCTGAGGGACACCACTTGTCACCCATCTCCATCTGGACATTGAGCCATTGACCACTACCCTCTGGATATGACCATCCAAGCAATTCCTCATCCACCAAACAGTCCACCCATCAAATCCATCTCTCTCCAATGTAGAGAAAAGGATGTTGTGAGGCACCGTGTCAGAGGCCAGCTCTGTTCTGCTCCCTTGTTCCCTAAGGGCAGTTTCCAAGGGGGTCCAACTGACTAACTCCCTGAAGAGCTGGAAGTTTGCTTTCCTAAAATTCAAGGTCCTGACTTTACTCTTTGTGTGGCCTATATCCCTCAGGGCTGCAAACTCCACAAATCAAATGCTGGGTGTTCTCATAGCTTTTTTAATTTATTTTGCAGTTCATACAATGACTCAAGGCATACCTAAATTTTTTTTAGTATCAATTTTTTATGTCACCTGCAACATCTGTGTTTCAGTTCAAGCCTGTAGAACTTTGGATGGTCACCATAAATATCTGTCTATAGGGAGTCAAACAGATGGGAAAGCTTTGATACCTTTTACTCTTGATTCTAAAGATGATTGCATCTTCTTAAATGAAAATATCTCTAAACAGTGCATTTCTTCCCTTTTAATTCACTGGATTGCACCAAATACAATGTTTTTAGACATTTCTTCTGAAAAGCACGTGCCAGGGAGCTCTGTTTTTTATTAGCAAGCTGCTCAGTGTTTTGGAGACTGCTCTGATGATGTTGTTCAGATCAACTTTGCTTTGTTTCACTGCAGCATTTTTGTGAAAAGAATTGAAAAGGAACAGGCACATAAAAATCAAGTAATTTTCCATCCCTCCGAAGCTGGCAGTGACCCCGCTGTCGTCCGGCATGCTCCAAGAGACCCACCATCCCCACCCTGTCACTAGACTCTTGTCAACAGAAGAGGCCTGAGGCTGTTGCTATTTTAAGAGTTTTACACAAATACAACATTTCTTGCTTTATAAAAACATGCTTTGATAGAGGTTTACATTAATGTCTAACCCGATCTTGAGAATACACAGGCCTACTTTCTTTTCTTTTTCAGCTATGAACTGAGAGTAATAATCTGGAATACAGAGGATGTAATTCTAGAAGATGAAAATATCTTTACGGGGCAAAAATCAAGTGATATCTATGTAAAAGGGTAAGTTCTTCAGCACTTGTCTTCAAAAGAACAGGTAATATTTCATTCAACAATCAGATGAAAAAAACTATGTTGTGGGAATATCAGATAAGCTATTACTGTGACCTTGGCACTTTGCTCTAAATGCCTGCCCAAATTATTCATCTACACCAAATACCGCTTCTTTTTTTTTTTACCCTTTTAAAATCAAGTGACTGTAAAATGACACTAGTTGTTACTGCCCGCTCAGGCAGGGATGACACAAGAAGAGGACCAAGCCCACAGTTTAGCAAACAGACATCAAACACTTACAGAACTTGAACTGTAAGAGCTTACACAGATGCAAAGAGGTTTGACATAATCGAAGAAAAGGGAATTATGACCACATTAGAAACAAGAAAGCAGGTGTTTGCTTTCTTGGTATTTCTATTGGAAATTTTTTCCAGCCTCCTGTGGGGAGCATGTGTGGGTGAATGACCATGGCCATGCTGGGGAGAACATCACGTGGGTTCTTTCTACTCTCCATAAGGCAAAATGTCTGTCACAGCTTAACAGATGTTACTGGGGTAATCAGTAAACTACATCACACAAATAAAATGAAAAGAGAGAGCACAAAAGGGGAGCTTGACACTCAAACCAGTTCTTTCCTGAGATTGTAGCAGGTTACTTCTTAAAATTACTTGCCTGGTTTGGAGTACTGCCTTGTACTTTCTGCTTCTGAGCAGGATTTGAATGCAGGTACCAGAAAGGGTTTGGGGGGAAATTATGGCATAATTGGCAGTAGGAAGTATTGGAAATCTCAGGTATGAGACTGATCTTAGATTTCTTGCTCTATTTCAACTACTAGAGACTGAGATTAATATGCCGATATGAATCGTGTCATTATGGAGTCCTGGAAAAATCTGCATTTGCAGAGCACTAGGCATATGGAAAAATGAGTTTCCCTAAAAATCTGTTGCAGTATTGACAATGACCAAATGCAAAACGATGGAGGAGGAAGCACTGGGACTGATGGAGCAGGGAAAGGAGGAAGTTTCCCACTTTGCAGGTTCTGAAAATCATGTGAACATACTAAGAAATCCAAAGTAAGCATAAGGACAGGGCAGTCTGGCAGCAGCTCTTCTGTGTGAGGTATATCTACATGCATTTTACCAGGGAAACTTGCCCCACACCAAGCTGTGTGGGGCACCAGGACTGGTACCACTCTCTGGAGGGTGTGATACTAGCCCAGGTGAAGCATGCACTAATACAACCACGTGGACCCCAGCGTGCAGCAAGTGTGGTTATTGCACACGCTGGCTGAGCAAACCCTCCCTTGCAGTTCCCCGAGAGGAGCTACTCCGAAATCACTGGTGTTCACACTGATATATCCAACTTAGCAATAAACTGATGTGTTCAGAGTAGTAGCAGGGTAGCTCTGAGAGCGCAAAATTCAGCGCAGGCTAGAAATTGAGGAAATAGATCGGCAGCCAGCCTTCGCGCGGAGCTGTGTGATAACATGAGGACATCACTATCAATGCCAGAGCGGTCTGACAGGGAAAGCCAGAGGTGGATTTTTACTTCTGTGCCTTAATGATAAAGACACAAATCTCATTATGTTCGGGGAGTGCATGTGGCACTGAATCTGTCGCCAGGCATGGATTTGCACTGCGGGCAGTGCTGTGCTTGGGATTGTTACTGGTTTTCTCTGTTTCTTTTTGAAATAATGGAGCTGGCAGGGGAGAGGCCAATCTTTGGATGCAGTGCAAAAATGTTAATCTTTACTCAAGCTGTGATAAATCATCTTCAGAAGTAAAACATACCTTGCTGGATCATTACTTCCATGGAGCTCTTCAGAAGAGAAGATTGCGTTTAGGAAGGCATTGTCCTTTTGTACCATAGCAATACACATCAAATGTTGTGCACACTGTACCAGAAACCAAGACGAAATCACAAGAGAAACCAGAGAGACTTCTCCCACCATACTTATGCCGTGTTTATACCCTCAAACCACAACTGCAAACAATTTAGAACCCAAAACTGAGCACTTAAGTCAGTCTTGGGACATTGACACAGAATTTATTAGTGTGGCACAACAGGAATACGGGGTGATTAGTAGTGGATAAATGACTGATGCTCTCTTTGCCTGTCCCAAACAAGACAGATGTCTTGGCCAATAGTAAATGGCCAATTGGTATTTTGGAATCTGATCTAAATAAGAATCACCTTCTCACTCTCAATTTTTGATCATCACTGGCCATTGCTGCAGCCTGTGCCATGGCTGGGAGGTAGCTGAGATCCCCGAGCCAGGGCTGTCACTGCGTGTCGCAGTCCTGAACAGTGTGTTACCTGCTAAGGATTAGGGAGGAATTAGCAAATGATCATGCCTGTAACCAAATAACGAAAACTGCAACACCAGCTCCCCTGGTGACGGCAGTGTATTCCACTATGTGTTTGCCACAGATGGATAAAGGGCCTGGAAGAGGACAAGCAGGAGACAGACGTACATTACAACTCCTTGACAGGAGAGGGCAACTTCAACTGGCGCTTTGTGTTCCCATTCCACTATCTCCCAGCAGAGAAACAAATGGTGGTTAGTAAAAGAGAAAACATATTTTCCTTGGAAAAGACAGAGCGCAAAATACCCGCTGAGCTGGTGCTTCAGGTGTGGGACTTTGAAAGACTGTCTTCAGATGATTTCTTGGGTAAGTATGCAATGGATCTGCCTGAACTTCACCCGAGGTCTCACCAGACCTGTATTTTGTAGAGGTATGTACAAAGCAGTGCCTGAGACCCAACTTCTGCTTGTCTTTCTCTGAAGCATCACATTGCAAACTTACACATTTCTTGGAGAGGAAATAATTAGGAACTCATCTGAGATGATGTCAGGGCAATACAAATGAATGACTGACTGTACAGAGAGATCCCCAGCTCTGAATTTTGGGCCCAAGCTACTGCATTGTTCTATGTATCTACCTGGAAGCTGCTGTTTGAATGCCTTCATGTCTACCTGGTCTCTGAGTGTTGTCACATTACTTCTCCCTCCAGGCACCCTTGAATTGAACCTGAATGGATTCCCTCGAGCAGCAAAGACAGCCAAGAGCTGTGACCTAGGCATGGTTGTGGCAGCAAGCGAAGAAAACAAGATCTCCATATTTCAACAGAAGCGTGTCAGAGGCTGGTGGCCTTTCATCAAGGCTGGGGAGCTCACGGTAGGCAGCTCACTACAGATGAACAGTTTTTCTCTGGGGCTGACATGCTCTGCTGAGATCCTGAGGCAGTCAGATGCTAATTTTGGATATGGCATCTGAAGAACAACCACCACTGGCAATCCACAGGAATCCTCCAAATGCTTCAGTGATCCCCCATATACTTGTTTCAGATAATCCCAGGCAACCAGAGCACTTTGTACTTTTTCTTTGCTTTCTTCCACTGTTCATCTCCCAGTACACTGGATGGGTAGAGTGGAAAATTAGGTGTTTCCAGCCACCTTTATGTCAGCTGAGGAAATCCTGGGAGGAATCTCATCTGCTTATTTATTTCTCATTTCTGCCAGGATAAATGAACAGATTTTGGACTCTACCTTTATTCTTGTTAGTGACACATCTTGAGCAGAAAGAGCACAGTCCCCTCTTCCTTTTGAAGTGTGCTTACTAAACCAATATTTTCTCGGTTTAGTGGCAGGATACAATAGGTATAAAGGAATGCAAAGGACAATGACACCTTCCCCAAACTCTACAGGACTTTTTATGTTAGAAGTATCCTCATAAAAAGAATATAAGGGCTGCCACACAGTTTTTCATTTACCCAAAGCTTCTAGTGTAACAAGGCTTGCAGCAGGGTGTAAATGTCACTCAGTGTGTACCTAGCCATTTATCTCAGGGTTTTCTGCTGCAGCTTCTCTTCATAATGTTGTAGTGCTTTCTGTGCGTAATCTGGAGCTACACCAAAATTCTCAGCGTTTAACACAAATTCTCCATTGTCCCTCTTTTAAAGGCTCCTTTGTACTCTTACAGCACCATAGGGATCCTCAGCGTAAACAAGAGACAGCTCTTGCTCCTCTGTTTCCCAGGTGGAGTGCATGTACCTAGGCATGAAATACATCTCCATAGTTAACTCTGCACATGGTCTTTGGGTCATATATACAGAAAACAGAGCATGAAACAGAGCTTTGTGAGCTAGTGAAGGAAAAGCCAAGCTGATGTGCTCACATGCACGGAGCTCTTCAGGAGCTTGGACCTGAACCTGGGCATCCCTGCAGCCCAGTTCTGGGTTGAGTGTGGTTGGAGTCTTTTTGGGCCTATCCAGATCTGTGTGGGGACACAGACCAAGAGCTACAAGCTACCTTTTTATAGTATATCCCTCTACAAATTCACCTGCTTTGTCCCTTTTTTAGGGGATCGCCCTCCCTCTCTAGACTTCCATTGACTCTCCAAGGGTTTTCCCAAACCTCAATCTTCCTTCATATTTCTGTCCCTTCCAGCAAGAATGTTGTAGTAAAAAGTGCCATCTTCAAGTTCATTGCCTTCTTCAGACTGAAGGTGACTGTGTACTTTCTATGGGTTTAGTGGATGGAAACCCCTGTTTTACCTCCATTTTCTCAACTCTCGTACAATTGATTCTCTTTCTCCCAGTCCACTTTCGTTTCCACGCTGATCCCTTTTATCTGCATCCTTCTTTCAGCCCAGGTTTTTTTTTTTCCTGAGTGGTCAAGCATTGGAACAGGCTGCCCAGGGAGGTGATGGAGTCACCATCACTGGAAATGTTCAAAAAACATGTGGACATGGCACTTTGGGACATGATTTAGTGGGCATGGTGGTGGTCGGTTGATGGTTGGACTTGATGATCTTAAAGGTCTTTTCCAACCTTAATGATTCTGTGTGATTCTGTGATGAATCCCAGACACTGGCCATAGATTAACACTTTAGCTTTGGATATCAACAAAGTTACGGGGTAGGAAAATAACAAATACATGAAAAGCCAGTTGTCTCTTTTTCATCCATCACAGATTTTATGAAGTTGAATGGATTTACTCATTCTTAAATGTTACTAGAATCTTTAAATCTCTGAAATAATTTTTTTTTTCCTTTGGCCTAATTATATCTATAGTTGAGATAGTACTGAAGAATGGACCTGCATGAACAGGGAAATGAGAGAACATCTCTGTAACATAACACATACAGAATTATCAACAGATTTGTTGCTGTGAGGGCAAGGGGAAAACAAAGATTTAACCCATATTTAGGAAGCTCTAACTTCCATAGCAGAAGTTACAGTTGATACAAAGAGTTTAAATAACTCAGATGATATATTTCTATTGCAAGGCATAACAGGCATGATCTTTTATAAGTGCTAGTATTTTATGGGTCACTCAACAAGTTTTAATGGCTTGTCACAATGAAAACAAGCAGTAAACCAGCAGTTATATTCCCTTATGACTTTTCTGAATTCTAGAAATTATTGGTAAGTTGGTGCTGAACAAAGTTGTCCTTCTGCCACAGCCCTGTGTATCACCTTCTGGCCATCCATCAAGAAAATTGACTCTGAATCCACCTGCCAAACCACTGTTCTTTTAGCCTGAACAGAGCTCTAGGACTGCATGATATTTTCTGCACACAGATCTCATTTCTAGTCATCTTCCTTTTGTGAGCTGAGACCCAACAGCTCAACTGCTCCAGCACTTGTGACAGGCTGAATTTTCCCCCATTGGTGGACTACACCTCGTCCACATCAGCGACACAGCTTCCAGCTCTGCCATGCAGCTCTGACGGAATGTGTGGCAGATAGAAGATGGGGCTTCTCAGATGAATTACATTATAATTTAGGAAGCAGAAAATATATTTATGGGTCTGGAATAAATCATCCTACCGCTCTTTCCTCATGGTCCTTGAGCATAAATCAGGAATTTGGTGTCTGGGTTTTCCTTTGTGCTTTCTCTTTAACTGCAAAGAGTTTATCTTGTTTTCTTTAATCAGTTTTCTTCACCCTCAGCTGGTTCCATAATTTCTCCACAAGCCAAATCCTCCTGTGATTTAATGACAATAACCCAGGATGCTTATGTATTATCTCTCTGATCCAGGGCAAGGTGGAAGCTGAATTTCACTTAGTCACAGCAGAAGAAGCTGAGAAGAATCCGGTAGGCAAAGCTCGAAAGGAGCCTGAGCCTTTGGAAAAACCCAAGTGAGTAGGAAAACACTCCTTAAACCAGCTGGGGCGTTCAGCA